AAGGACGGGGGCTGCGTTCTAATCACACGCAGCACCTGTCCTTCCCGGCAGCTACTTGGTACGGCCCCGCACGCAGCACGGAGCTGTACGTGCAAGCCGATTCGTGTGTGAATGAGGCCTAATAGATATGGGGATGGGGGGTTGTAAAGGGGTCATAGATATGTGGCGGGGGGCAGGGGGGGGATAGTAGTTGTGTACACCTATTTCATGCTTTTTCTTGTAATTAGACAAGTGGATTATAATGGGGAATATTACGCTGTAATGTTCCCCATTATAATCTATTTCTCTGATTAAATGATTACAGGTAGGCATGTGATCTATCAAAGTTTGAGACTACGTTAGAATGTGTGACCAGTGACGTGGTCACACATTTTAACGTAATCTCGCCCAGTTTTTCGGTGGTGGAATAGGTGAAGAATTCCAACGCTTTCATTTTTTGGTGTAACTATTTTATTTTGAAGGCATATTTAAATACAATTTAAGATTATTAAATCAAAACAATCTAAAATATAAACAATCAACGTCCCCCCCTCAGCGGGCCACGCTAAAATGATCAAATGTTGACCGGTCCGCAGCGATAAAAAGGTTGGGGAGCACTGATCTAGACAGTACACAGAAATACTACCAAAAAAAAGGGGGGATGGGGGGGCCAGAGTCTAGAAAGGGAGAGGAAAGTGGAATCCAGCATTGGGAGAAGGAGGGGAGCGGAGCAGGAAGGAGAGAGGGGCGGAGAGAGGAGGTAGGGAAATGAGGAGGGTGGGAAAAGAAGTAAGGGGAACAGTGGGCAGGGCGTCAGGCCCCCGGGCAACAGGTTCATTTTAATGGAAGCCCCTGCAGCTTCTTATCCTTGGCTTTCCTTCCCTCCCCTGTCATCGCGTTTCTCTCCCCTGTCATCGCGTTTCCAACCCCTGTCATTGCGTTTCCCTGTCATAGAGAGTAGAGATGAGGCTTGGCTTGGACCAAACCCAGTTTGCCTGAGTTCACCCCATGCCCACTCAAAACGGTAACCACCACCACCCCTCCTCCTGATTCAATTAGTGACGGCAGGAGCATTCCCTACCCCTTTGTGGCGTATAGCTTCAGGGCGGGTAATGTGCCTCTCCATAAGTGATTGGGTTGGGAGGAACTGGGCTGGGCTCAGCCTTATCACTAATAGGAATGAGATGCTCTGTACAAGCTCCAAGCTGACACTTAAAGCTTGTTCACACCAGCCTGCTCGCTACAATAATCCATTTTATCGAGCAGGCTGGTGTCCATGTGTCAGTACATTTCATTCATTTCTGTGCAGAGATGCATTGCAGAGATGCAGGTGACTTTAAGGTGAGCTTCGGTGCATTGCTGAAAAATGCAGCATGTCTTCATTTTTACACAGTGCACTGCAACCCACCTCAGGACAGCTTTGTGATGTGAACAGAGCAAATTGTTTTCTAAGGCTTTGCGGTGACTGGCTTTGATCAGGTGCAGGAAAATTACAGTCATCGCACATTGGTGTGCATGAACTATAAAGGTTACAGCAGGCTGGGGACATTCTTTCTACTCAACCATCAAGCACCAGCACTTTTAGAAAAAAGGAAAAGAAGTGAGTTGCATGGGCCTTCACACCTGGGAGTGCCAGATAGACCACTTTGTTTAGCTGAGCCATGGGAGCGGCGAGGGATAAAATGGGCTGGCATTAAAGTGAACCTGTTTGCAAGCATTGCCCTGCATGGGAAAGGCAGCACAATGATCCAGACAGACTCTACTATATTGCAAAGTGCTGTCAGTTTAACACTTGGAGCTTGCTATCAGAAAGAAGTATAGTGAATAGATTGTTGTAAGAGTCTGGCAATGCTCCTTCTTTGTCCAAGTAACAAGCTGGAGGGCGAGTTGGTGACCAAGATGAAAATTCCTCATCAAAACAAATACAGGCCTCCTTATCTTGCACCCACCCCATCCAGGAAAATCTTCTTCTTTAATATAATATGGTCAGTTGTGTCATATATCGGGATGCACCGAAAATTTAGTCGCCAAAACATATCGTCCGAAAATGGCACTTTTGGCGCTGCTCTGTGTCCCAGCGGGGAGGAGAAAAACTGTTGCAGGAGGCCGAGCGATGTGGGAAGAGAGCGCTGTGAGCGGCCCGCGTCTCTCCCCCCGCCCCGTCCAGCCTCCTGTGACAGATCGGGAGAGGGGTGGTGTGTGGCTGGAGACAGCTGTCATAGGAGGCCGGGCTGGCGGTACAGATTAGGAATCACCTGTCAGAGGAGACTAAGCTCTCCTCCCCGCACCACTTGCTCAGCGTCCTGTGACCGTGTCAGGATGGAGAAGCGAGTGCAAGCACTCAGTGATCAGTGTGTTTGTAAATCATTGATTACATAGTATGTTTACTGTGTCTCCAATTATGAATGAATGGGAAGTGATCAAAATCACTTCCTGTTCATTCATGATTGTGGACATGGTAAACACAATATCTCCACAATATATGAATGAACAGGAACACTCTGTATAGAGGATTCCTGTTAATTTATAACGGCGGATACAGAAAAAGAGATTGTGGACTCTGTGTTCTCAAACTCTTTTTCTATTTTAAAAGGCAAATATCAGGTGTCTGTTTAGACCCCCAATATTTCCCCCGAAGCCCCCAACAGTAAAGTAAAGAAAATAAAAATATTTAATACAAATAAATAAGTTAAAATAAAATATTTTTAAAGATTTTAAAATGTTGGGGAAAAAAAACATTTTGGCCTGACATTTGTTTTCATTTTCGGTTTCGTTTAAAAAATTTCATTTCGGTGCACCTGCTAGTTATATGTATAAATTGTTTCATTTCAAACTACAAATAAAGTGCTATTGAAAAAATAAACCATGAGGTAAATTTACATGTAATCTATAGCAATACTTTTTTTTTATTCCGTAGGTTGAAAAGATTCGTCAAGTGAAAGCAAAGTCTCTCTACCACCAGGTTGATAAACTCCACCAGGCTCTAAACAAACTGGACAGCACAATCAATGCAGTACAGCAGGTCTTGGAAGAAGGCTGCACAATGGATATCCTTATTGCCCGGGATCGTGTCTTAGCTCAAGTGCAAGATATAAAAAATGCTAGAGGTCTGTTACAGCTTCAAGAAGACGATAGAATCATGTTCACTCCCCCTGACCAGGCCTTGTACCTTGCCATAAAGTCCATGGGATTAGTCAGCAGTGGGGCTTTTGCCACACTAACAAAAGCCACAGGAGAAGGCTTAAAACGAGCCCTTCAGGGCAAAGTTGCATCATTCACTGTTATTGGCTATGACCATGACGGTGAAGCACGGTTATCAGGTGGTGACCTTATAACTGTACTGGTTATGGGTCCTGATGGAAATCTGTTTGCAGCTGATGTCACGGATCAGATGAATGGTACATATTTGGTTAGTTATAGGCCGCAACTTGAAGGCGAACACCTTATCTCTGTAATGGTGTGCAATCAGCACATTGAAAAAAGCCCATTTAAAGTCAATGTGAAGTCAGGTCGTTGCTACTTGGGGATTGGGCTTCCTTCCCTTTCATTCGGGGGAGAGGGTGATCACGATGGAAAACTTTGCCGTCCCTGGGGTGTCTGTGTGGATAGGGAAGGATATATTATTGTTGCTGATCGAAGCAACAACCGCATCCAAATCTTTAAGCCATGCGGTACTTTTCACCACAAGTTTGGCAGTTTGGGATCAAGACCTGGCCAGTTTGACCGGCCTGCTGGTGTTGCGTGTGACAGTTCTCGTAGGATTGTGGCAGCAGATAAGGACAACCATCGTGTTCAAATATTCACTTTTGAGGGCCAGTTCTTACTTAAATTTGGTGAGAAAGGGACCAAGAATGGCCAGTTTAACTACCCTTGGGATGTTGCCGTCAATTCAGAGGGGAAGATCCTTGTCTCTGACACTCGAAATCACCGTGTCCAATTATTTGGTCCAGACGGGACATTCCTGAACAAGTACGGCTTTGAAGGTGCTCTCTGGAAGCACTTTGACTCTCCTCGCGGTGTGGCATTCAGTCAAGATGGGTACCTAGTTGTTACTGACTTTAATAACCATCGTCTGCTCATAATCAAGCCGGACTGCCAGTCAGCACATTTCTTGGGTTCCGAGGGCACAGGCAATGGGCAATTCCTGCGGCCTCAAGGTGTTGCCGTAGATCAGGAAGGACGCATCATTGTTGCAGATTCTAGAAACCACAGAGTACAAATTTTTGAGCCAAATGGAAGTTTCTTATGTAAATTTGGCACCCAAGGAAGTGGCTTTGGCCAGATGGACCGCCCATCCGGTATAGCTGTTACACCTGATGGCACAATTGTCGTGGTCGACTTTGGTAATAATCGGATTCTTGCCTTCTAATCAGTTTTCAACACAAAACTGTCTCAGGGAAATTCTTTCAAGAAGTATAATATACAACATTATTGAGCACCTACCTCATTATTTTTTTCCTTACAAACCTAAAAACTGTAATCTGCAAAAGTAGAGCCTGTGAAGCATAAAAACAAAATACTTGGGAAGGAAAATCTACCTCAAAACCTCTTAGAAGGAGGGGTGTTGTTTTATTTTTCGTATCCTGCACAAAACATTGCTTTCAAATTTACCTCAGATATGGACAACTTAAGCAAAGGCAGACAAGACTATACCTCCTAAGAGAATGTTTCTTGTGAATTAAGCCAAAAAGGGCTATAAACTTAAAAACAATACCAGGAATATTATTGAAATGTACTTTTTTTTTCTTTGTAAAAAACACACTTGTGTCCTCTATAACCAAATTTTTAAATTCCTCCTTTACCTGTGCTGCTGCAGCAGAGGACACTTTGTGTATTACCTCAGTGCGTTTCAGAACAGAAGATACCTCCGTATGCAAATTCATCAAAGTGTTTTATTCTATTTCTGATCAAATTTCACATACCTCAGCAACTGAAAATCAATTTCTAATACCTGCAATGTTTTTGTCCTATTTAAGTCATGTGATGCCTAGTGTAGTAGATGCTGAATGTCTGAATCATTGCTTCTTCCTCAAAATTGCGTTCATTTTCCAAATTCCATTTGGCACCCGACGCATGAATGTGTGAGTGTGTGTTGCTGAATGCTTGTCATATGTTCCTGTTGATTAGCCCGCAGGCAGTGAATAGGTATAAAGATGAAGCACAACTTGTAAAGGTCAAATTGTTTTCTTGTCTGTACATAAGAGGGTTAAGCAACATTCAGGAAGACCCAACAGTTGTGTTATGTCATGTCTCTGTAGGGGTCAGACTAGTAAGGAGATATTGGTGGACATGGACAGAAATGAATACTCTACAGAACCTTGATTAGTCAGAAAGCTGACGTTTTGTAGCTCTGCTGTAATCTGGATAAACAATATACTGTATCGTCCAGTATGAGATTTTTATCGCAATAGCTACCTTTCATTCTGTTTCCGCAGTACTATAGAAAACACATTGACACATCAGTTGAACAGACTCAAGTGACAATAGACTTAAGTGTACACTGAATGTTTGTAGCAAAAACCAATGTGAATAGTTTTCACTAATAGTCTAATAGAAGATTTAATTGATGTTTAGATTAAAATTAATTCCTTTTTAATTTAGAATGTTAAATAAAAGCACGCTGATTAAAATAAGAATATTTATGCCGTAATAGTTTTTGCAGCCAAGTGTGTTCCCGGGGGTTATTCATGGGGGCATTATTAGACTCCATTCACAAAGCTAAATCACCAGGATAAAAAAACCTATTGTCAAAAATGTGACAGTTATTTTTAGCTAAATCCAATGAGATTTGTAAATTATAATAACGTGGCTGAAAATAAGGATCCTTATTGTTGTGTAAAGTTTTTTGTGAATGGAGGCCATGCGCTGTGAACACATCTTGGTGGATGATTTCTTAATAACGACACTGCAAGCAGCATATTGGCACAAACTTCTTTTATGCTAATGGGGAATGGTTTTTGGCTGCGTTAAAGTGTCACATGAAGTGTTTCATGTGTTTTTTGTAAATCTAAGGCAAACATTTAAATCTCACCCACTTAATATTTCCAGTTGTTTGAAGAGTTTTATTTTAGTCAGCGTGTCTATTTGTCAAATTTTCATTTTTGTATTCAAGCTTAAGTCAATCTTCCCCCCAACCAAAGATTTTCTTTCCTACCTTGGAAAAACTTGTTTGTTGAATTTTATATGAACTGATCTGCATACTGTTCAACCCTGATCTCCTTAAAGAAGACTGATGTAAGGGTTATCTGTTTAACAGCAGTTCTATTTTTGGAATGTTAAAATTTACATGGCTCACTCCAATTTATATTCTGGCTGCACTTAATGTTCTCAAGCCAGTACGAGAGAAACCTGACCCTTTAAAATGTGTGTGTATATGGCTTTTTTAACTTGTGTTACTAGAAGTTGCTATGACACCACCTCTTTACTAAGGAGGAGAGATTAGGGTTCATAGCTACACTAATAATGATAAGTCAGCTCAGCTATATTTGGGGTCGGTGATCTTTTTTGTTTTCTAAAATTTGTTTGACAGCACATGCTTTGGATTCTAGTTTTTATCCCATGTCACCAAAGTTAGTCTCCATCAACAGTGAACTTTGTAGACATTAGCCTTCCTTATTCTGAATGAGAGGCAGTAAAGTGTTTTATTCTTACCCTTCTGTTCCTGATTAGATTAGTATGGCATGTATACACAGTATGCGGTTGGGTCCATTTAAACCAGCCCACACTATGTTATAATTGCCAGATAGTCCAATACCTCTTTTTTTTTTCCAGCAGGGACTATGTTAATAAGTACCAATCTAGGCCTCACTCCTTGAAAACATAGCCATATCATGCATGCTGTGAATTGTTAAACTGAAGGAAGATATTTCCTATAGTTCAGATGAAAGCTCAAAATAGCTTTTGATCACTCATTATTTCATAGAGCCAAAAAATATACTACCACCAACTGGTTATTTTTTTTCTTCTAGACAGGCCGATTACAAACCTATAGGTTATTTTACTGTCTGTATATCTGGTCTTATATTACTGTCCTGTATGGAAAAATGAGTAACTCATTCAGTTTACCAACCTTTTAAATACTCTAGTTTAAAGTCCAAGACCTGAAATGTATGTTTTGCTAATGCTGACCACACTCAGTCCGATTTTGTTCCAGATTTGATATGTCAGATCAACAAAAGTTATCAACACTTGTATAGTATGAGGATCTAAATGACTGCTTATAGCTTATTTCTACTAGCTAAATGATAGCTGGTAGCTTTTTTAGGTAGGCCCACTTAGTTTCTGACTTTAGTGAGGAAACAAATCCATCAGTCATTCACCAAACGTTTAAGTATCATTTTAAAGTGAATCCACTATCCTTGACACATTGCCTAAAAATGGACTAGGGAAGGCTATAAGCTCAGCTTTATTTGTGTTCATTTGACTGTTTTCAGATTGGACTAATAAGCCTAACCTTTTTAGTCCTATTTATAAATCGGTAAATCTGACATTCGCCAAACAATCACTGCTTGTGAATCTATTGGATGTGTGTTTTAAGTGACAGTGATTGATTCACCACCAGTGAACGTTTGATGCAAGTCACAAACAGACAGGTGTGTAAATGATCGGCAGAGAAATCAGGACTTTGCTGAATATATTTCAGGCATTAGATATCCAGTAAACTAGCTTATTTCGGATGCATTTTCAGCAACTCTAAATCTAGTTTTGTGCCAAATATTACTCTCTGCAAAGTGAGAAAATGTCTTTAAAATGTGCAAATTTGGCTAAAATATTCCGTTCAAATAAACGAAAGCATTGGGAAATTTAGAGAGAACGCATTTAGTAATTAAAATGACACTAAACTCGGGGTATTCGACTGTCATTTTAAGATTTAACTCTGAAGTATTAACAATACTGGACATTGTGTATCACTCGGCTGTAGATCCTCAAATCATCTCTGAATTTGGTGCTGACACTGTTCTTCCTTCTGGAGGGTGGCTACTTTACAACACACACATGGACCATGGGAAAGAAAAGTAACCATCACTCCAAGCTCGCTCCCGTTATGGACTACAGCTCACATTTAGTTTACTAATTTGTATTGAGATTGGAGTCTATCACGGGAGCGAGCTTGGCGTGGTGGCTGCTTTACAACACACACAGGGACCATGGGGAACAAAAGTAGCCACCCTCCAGAAGATGATGATTTGAGGCTCTACGGCTGAGTGATACACAAATCAGATACATTTGGATTAATAGTTAAGGTATTTGAATGCATTTCTGAGATTTAACTTCTGATTTAGTGTCACTTCAATTAAAGTACAAGCTGTAGAGGGTACAAAGAAAAACATATGTTTGGCGATGTGTACCCTATATGTCAAGGTTGCAATCTAGTGGCATTGTATGAATCCTTTATTTTGAAATGAACCATGATGCCCTATTATCTCCTCTCTAGAATGATCCAGTTTGGCATCTTGGGACCGCTTCATTTTAATTTCATTTAAAAACATGATGGCGTTGCTTCATATTTTTAATTGCTTGCCTAAACCGATAACTTTTTTTTTTTGCTCTGAATTGACAAAGCAAATTCTAATTGTCAAAAATGTAAGTTTGACTGTAAATATATGAATGTATTTTTGGGAGTGCACCTTTATTCACGGTGGAATGTTACAGCCATGTTTTACAGCATGGTTTAATGAGTGTAACTTCTGCTTTTATAGGACAGTGACTGTATGTGAGTCTGTATGCTTTCCTACTCGTATCTCCAATTGGGAGTATGCTTTATACAAAGAAATCTAAAAACCAAAGATAAATTGCCTTGACACCCATTTATATAAGTGCTCTTCCCTTCAGGGCGATAAGTGTTGAATGTGAGAAGGGCAGGGCCCATTGGTATCCGAAACCATTACAAATAGTCTGTTCTTTGAAATGAACTCTGAACAGTTAAATGGGCATTAAGTTTAATGACTTTTCCCACTTGTAGCGTCGCAGTGCCAATTAAAGCCCTGCAACGATTAGCCTAAAATTTCAAGGGATGATCTAGTGTGTAATAAAAAGCTATATGAATTTTATTTAATAACTTGACAATTTTTCTGCAGTAAATGTTACACTAAAACACGTGATGGCCATTGCCTTCCACAGCTCCTCAGAATTGAGATGTTTACCACTATCCTCTTCCAGTTTTAGTATTTTTTGATACATATAAATAACTTGACTCCGTACACGTCTGCAGTCTTGACTGGCTGGTACAAATTGCCATTTGTTGCAGGTTGCCTGAATGCGTATGTCAAAGTATTGACAGGGTCAGATGTTGATCGACATGTCTGTGGGCAACCAGTAGTAGTCCATCTATGGTAACTGAAGGAAAAAGTACACCAGTGGTATTTGCAT